TGAAAATTTTAGATTAATTTGTGAACTTTGAATCAAAATCGAATAAAAGCCCGAAAACACCTGAAAAATGGCCAAATTTTCATGGAAAATCATGATTTCCGTCCGAACGGGCAACATCGGGCAGATGAAACGTTGATTTTCTGAAAGTACACATACTACTTAATGTATCCACGTGCACGAAATTTCAAATACTGTTAAAGCTTATTTTTGCCACTCCATGAAAGTAGAAAAAACTGTTAAAAATGAGCAGTATTTCAAAATGCAATATTCGCCACAAAAAAAAAGGATTTAAAAATTGGAAAAATCAAAAATAGAAAGTGCTTACCAGTAGGAATGAAGCTTCCAGGAAGGATAGAATGGCACTGAAGCCTGTTGATCAGAATGCTCCTCATTGTTGTCATCTGCAATCGGCTTCTAATCAGGAGCTCAGAACTGGTTGATATGGACCACCTGTGCGGGCACTGGGTATCGATAAAAATCGATACTATCGCTGACAATAGTGTTGCCAGATATACCACTTAACGTTCACCACATAATTTTTGGAAAATTTCGACATTTATTTTCAGGGGGATTTTTGTCACCATTCAACGCACTGTGCGCCGGGCACCCCTACACGCGCTGCGGCGTCCGTAAGGAGGAATAGAACTGAAACCCATGTTCTCGATCACTAGCCGGCCACGTTTTGCGGCCCTATCGAGAAACGGCGTATTTGCACGAGGTTTCCTCGCGGGATTCACGAGGTTCTTCCGTCGCGCGGTTCGGTCACCGATAGCGCCCAAGTCGGCTCGGCAATTCGTCGCTCCTCGTGATTTACGTGCGCATCTCCGTTCCCGCATGAGCCCCGCGAAGCACCGGGATATACGGAGAACAGGGTTCACGCGGAAATGGAGTTACGCCCTCGCGCCGGAGGAGCCACGAGTTTACCTAGTCGGAGCCTCTCGCTGCCGCGCGTCGCACTGTGGTTCGGAACTCGCGGATAGGAGGAAATGAGCCGTTATGGCTCAGCGTTCACGGGGGCCTCGCTTTCGGTTTTTGGGTCCCTGAGCTCAAATTAAATGTCGTATTTTCGTCATTCCGGCCAAGTTAATTTCGAACCCCCCATATTTTGAATTATTTATCTACTTATTCCACGTTTGTTCCGCCGTGCTAAGGAAAAACGCCGCACGAGCCGTCAGACGTTGCCAAGTTTCCCTCGATAAAAACTGAATTCACTGGAAAGATCGAGAATATTTTTTGCCGAAATTTTCGGACAATTTTTTCGCGATTTAATCTAAATTATCTGAAAATTTCGAAGAAAAATCTGCACGGATGTCGTCGAAAATACTCGTTTTATCGAAGGGAATTTGGCGACTTTCGAATGTTCGTACGGTGTTCCTCCTTAGCTCGGCGGTGTTGACCGCTGTGTGTCGTTGCGCGGCGAGCGGACGAAAGCGCGTATGAACCCATCGGCTTCCCCCGGAGTTAGGCGGTTTGAAGTCGGCGCTCCTTTCGTCACTGCCGCT